TGGAAACAGTTGGAAACATAACTGTTGTCAACATTATTGGTGGGTACGCGGCTTTATATACAGCTGTGTATGTAGAGCCAGTATAATTACAGGCTGTGAACCACTCACGTTTAGCCTACATATATAAATTTATAATCGGAGAATATTAATGATTACAAATATTTATTTATTTTATTTATTTATTTATTTAAACTTTCATGCACAAAGTTGTACACATGGCGGACTTAATGCCATAGAGCATTCTCTCCCAGTCAACCATTAGGCTTGCTTTAAAAACAAACTTGTTGGGATCTTTTTTAATGTCAAGAGGAATATCGTTCCACAGTCTGATGGCCGTGAGTGTGATAGAGCGAGATAAGTAACCAGTACGGTGTAAAGGAGTGAGCAAATTAAGACTAGCCGAAGAACGGAGTTATTGAAATTTGTATTTAAAATTATCGGGAGATTTATTTACTTATGGCTTCAGAAATCCTTTCATAAATAAGAGGAGGAGGCCGGCAGTAGATTATATACTGCTTATTTTGTATAACTTTTCACTTTACTTCACTGTTTACGTTTTTATTGATAACTGAGTAATAAATAAGGTAGGTGGTTGCTACTTGTCTTACAAGTTCATTTTGTTTAATTAAATTAAATTAAATCAAAAGGAGGATTGAAATTTCCTTTTAAACTTCAAACGTACCTAATTTCTCGTTAAGTACTCTTCCAGCCTCTTAAATTCAGTGAGTTTCTGAGACATTGATTCACGCAAATAATCAAATCAAGTTATTTCAAATTTCCTCAAAGAAAGGAAAGTACTCTCTGTCTCGATTTGTTTCTAAACCAATAACTTCTACAGATTAAAATAAGTCAATTTTCCTTAAAAAAAATTGGAATGCGGTGTAAACGTGTAGAGGAGATTGTAATCTATTTATGATAGAATTATCTATTCATTTTGATTCTTAAACTAAAGGAAATTATCTAATAACCGCCGTTCTAAAATAATTAGAATAGTTATTACAGCTAAACCCTTACTCATCCACTATATTCTACAAACCAACAGAATTTACAACAAAAACACAAACACTCACGCCTGTCACCCAGAGGGGTAGGCAGAGACTACGGACTTCCATTTGGTGCGATCCCGACACACCTCTCTCTCCTCCTTTACATCCATATATCTACGCATACACGCTCGTCGGTTAAGGGTAATCCTAATCTGGCACATTGTCAATGTATCGCCGATTTGGTCGATAAATCTTCGTCTAGAACTTCCCTGCCCGACTCTGCCGTTCACTTCTGAAACATAAATTTCCTTTATCACTCTTTCCTCGTTCATTATTTCTACATGACCAAACCACCGAAGGATTCCTTTTTTAATCCTGGTCACAACGTCATCTTGCAAACCACACTTTTCTCTTATCACACTATTTTTCACCCTGTCATTCAGATTCAGCCCTAGCATCTCCTTAATGACCGCATTTCTACAGCATTTATTCTACTCTCATGCTTCTTCTGCCAGACCCAACTTTCACTACCATACATTAAATTTGGGACTAACACAGCATTATGAATTGCCATACGTGCCTTCTTTGACACATTCTGACTCTTCATAATAGCGTGTAGAGCCCCATTCACTCTATTTCCTGCGTTCACTCGTCGTTCTATATCCTTATCATATCTACCATCCCTGCTAAATAAACATCCCAAATATACAAACTCATCCACTTGCTCAATCAACTCCCCTTCTATTCTTATTTCAAAAACGTTTTACTTTCTTCTCTTTCAAAAACCATCACTTTCGTCTTACTTGTGTTCACTTTCATACCCCTTTCTTTTAATTACCAGTTCATTAAAGTAACCATCATTTGCAACTCGGCCTCCGACGATGCAAATATGACTTGACCATCGGCGTACAAAAGGCATTTGACGGTTAACTCACCCATTCTCAACCCACATTCTTCAACTTTCAAAGTTGGAAACAACTGTCCATAAATAGGTTAACAGCCACAAAGAAGATACACAGCCCTGTCTGACACATTTTGAATGCTAAACCAGTCCGAGTAGACCCCGTTGATCCTGACACAAGCACTAGAGTCCCTATAAAGAGATTTTAATGCCTGTATCAAACCAGCGCTCAACCCAAATGAGGTCAGTGTTTGCCATAACAAGTTCCTGTCCACCCTGTCATAAGCCTTTTTCAAGTCCATGAACGCACAAAAAACTTTATGGTTTTTGGCCAAAAATTTCTCCGCAATCAAGCGCATGGAAAAGACTTGTACCAACTTCCGTACCTTCCGTACCAACCAACCAACAGAATTTCTGTTCTTTTTAATTTGAATAAACTTATGACGGGCGAAAATTTCTATTCCAAAGAAGCAATAAAGAACACCTTTAAACAGTTCATCGATTTTCGTGCAGCAAACTTCTAAGCCATAAAATGTCTAAATTGTTTTGACAAATATTTAGTTTTTCTTTATACATTTTATTTCAGTTTTCCTACACAAAACGACAACTTCATAAGTAAAAACTTAATATTTAATTATCTTTAATGTGTTTGTTATTAATGAGGCCTAATAATCTTCCACTCACCAGATGTCGCTAGTTGTGACTGAGGTAAAGTTTTTTGTTACACGATGTCAGTTAATTGAGAAAATAATTTTAAATAATAGTTTATCATTATCTGGAAAATAATATCCGTCAGAGGTTTGATTTTAAAATTCTTCCACTTTATAACTCTTTTTTCTTCTATTTTTACTTATAATTATAGTTTGGTTTATTCATTTCTATGTAATTAATATAAAATATATCTAATAATACTGAAACATTGAAGTTTACGTTTTCCTAAGAAATTATCGTCCCCGTTATGAAATCTGTCTAACATTTTCCCTCGTTGTGAAGTGGCCCAAAAATTTCGTGGATGTTCTCATTTCTTTATTTCAATGAGTATAGCCGTATCGTGCCATGTACGAGTACATCTGTGAGAGCGTGCTCCTATCCCGGTCGGGCCGACATATTCGTGCTACAACCATAATATTGATGCAGCGGGGCTCTACTATGTTAGACACCTACACACCGTTATTTTTACCGTTACAGCCTATTAAAGTCCACTGCTGAACATAGGCCTCCCTTAAATATTGCCTCATAGGGGGATATTTGCGATAGTTGCCACGCTTGGTAAGCGAGTTGGCAAACGCAGTTTTTTTTTTGTTGTTTGTCGCTCTGTCGCCCCTTAGATCTCTAGCTCTCTAGATATCACTACCCCATATTATCCCGTGGCTGTCGCACGGAATAATATGGGGTAGTGGATATTCTTACACCACCACTACACTGCTGGTACAAATTTATACGTAAATAACCAGTATTAATCACTTATCAACAATATCACCATAAACCGCCAAACAGCAATAACTGCCCTGCTGTGTTCCTGTCAAAATCTTAGTTCTCAGGGTTGACAACATATCTGTAATTTTTTTGTTTGAAGTTGGCTACTAGTACTCACTGACTGTATTAGCTACTATCCATCAGCTAGAATGTAAGTCCCTTTGTCTAATCAGTTTTATAAAAAAAATGCTTATCGTAGCGTTCCCCGTAGCATTTTTACCGCGTTCAGCAGGAGAAAACTTATGGACCGAAGAACAAAAAAAAAAAAAAATAAAAGCGCATTGAAATTTTAATGTTTTAAATTATACTAGTTATCCCAAAATCCTAAAGAATATATTCTTTAACAGGGCTGTCACTGATACGTGGCTACGAACATGACGTAGTGTTCACAACAACACAACGGCCTGACTTCCGCTACAATACTGTGGCAACGTCGCACAAATTCGACAAGGGCAGAAAAAAGTAAGTGGTTTAATACAGTGGTCTACTTAATATTGATTGTACATTGTTTTTCATTACCCGAGTAGGAAAGCTTATTTCTCATCATCATATCGTTATAGCTCCTTATACGTCTACTTTTTAACATAGGTATTCCCCAAGAAATGCCACAAAACACGGTCCTCAGCTCGCCTTACCTGGACGTTGCTGCATCTTGTGGGAAACCACTCTACACGTCGATTACCGGTACGAGGCGGTTATTCGAGAACCTTTCTTCCTCACCGGTTATCAGTTCTTTGAGCTATATATCTATCACTTAATGAAAATAAAAAGTGAATTTCAGCTTTCCCATAATTAACGTAGTCTTTAAAAGAGATTGTCATTACCTAAAATGTATTTTTAAAACGTAGCTTTCAAATGAATAATATTTCTGAGCACAGCCAATATAGAACACTTACAATTAATACGACCTTTACACTTTATCGTGTAATATATTAATTTAATCCGTATAACATATTAGACTGATATTTTTGTGGTAATTTGCTGCGAAGTAGAGTACGCGGTTTCAAAAGCGATAGCAAATTGCCCGCCTCCGTCTAATGGACATCACGTCGTAAATCGTAATATGTTAGGTGTTTGCTTAATCGACCGTGCTTACGCTTACGCCTTTTTTTTTATAGGATAAGGGTGACAAACGAGCACACAGTCCACCTGATGGTAAGTCGTTGCTGCGGCCCATAGACATCTACATCAATCCTCCATTACAAATCAAAATGTAGATGCGTTGTCACCCGTGAGGACTAAGATGGAATGCTTCATTTCCAGTAAAAAAGGCCTCCGGCCACCTGCACTCACCAAGCGAAACGCAGAGGTAAACCTCTACTTCACGCTGGTTTTCTGTGAGGTCGTGGTACCACCCCGGTTCGAGCCGGCCCATCCGTGCGACAGCAAAAGCTGCGGCGTGGCTCTACCACTGTTGAAAATAAAAAAAAAATATATATATATATATATATATATATATATATATATATATATATATATATATATATATATATATATATATATATATTGTATTCATTACACAGATAAAAATAAAATGATAATTTTATTTGTCATGATTATATTATTCACGCAATTCATGGTTATTTGTAAAATATTTTCTACTTACCGCTTCTTTTTTAAATGTTTAGATTGCCACAATGGTACTCCGTTGGCTTCTTCTCTGCTGCGTGGTACTGTGCGCGAAACCGGTACACCCACAAGGAGCCCAGCAATGCCCGGCGCCTAACACAATTACTCCCTGCACCTGCACTGTTAAAAAGAACGGTCTTGATATACTATGTGAATTTACAGAGCAACAACATATACAAAAGGTAAATGTTTACTGTCGATGGTAAGCTTAACAAAGTTTAGAAATGCCGTGTATTTAATTAGAACTATTACTATCCTCAACCAGTGCTAAGAACGTATTGTCTTGTATTTTAACGTAATTATTTAGCTTATTATAATATATAAAATAGAGCATGTTATTGGAGAGCATTTTATTTATTTTGTGTGGTAAATTTTTTGCATATTTCGTCTTACATTTTTAGGCTATGAACACGCTGCGATCGAAGCCGATGATAATATTCTATTTGAAACTTCGCCACAACAACTTAGCCAAGCTTCCGTCGTATATTTTCTTGGGCCTTGACATACGTCATCTTACAGTTCACAACAGCAGCTTGGCCGTTATTGAGGATTCTTCGCTGAGCTCTATTGGTAAATATTCATTTGGATTGAAAACATAACCAATATCTGTAATCATTTTAATCGATTGTGTAAGATAGGATGTTTAGGTAGACTGTGAGATCATTTGTCACTTATTACCCGTGCGGTTAAAGAATGGGATTGAAAATGGCGTCGCCTCTATTCACCTCTCACTCGCATACCTGTCGCTATATATACTCACATCCGGCGGTAAAGACTGCAAAAATACATTGCGATATGTGTTTTTCATAGAATGGAATAGAATCATTTTTATTCAATAGAGATTACAGTACATAATACTTATTAATTTTTTTACTTTTACTACTGGTTCGCAAAAAAACCTCTGTCCTGGGAAGAACCAGCAAGAAGCCCATCGGGAGTTATTAAAAAAAGCACAATTTACAATATAATATTTTATAAAATTGTTATAAAAAAATTTAGAAACAGCATGCATCACATACTCTTTAGTAGTAAAATTAATAGGAACCCTTAATAGACTAGTTTTGCTTAATAAATAATTTAAACATTTTGATAAGAAAATGTCTGCATATTTTCTGGGACTTTGTTGTAAAAGCGTATACATTGCTCCATGAAGGAATTACTGACTCTTTAAAGCCGAGTAACTGGTATAAATAACTTGTGCTTATTCATAGTATTTGCAGAATGTAAATCACTATTTTAATAAAACTATTTTTGTTTTTGTGTGCATACATTTAATTCTCGTAAATATATTGAGAGGCCAAAGTAAATATATAATTATTTCTTTAAACTTTTCTCTAAGCGATTCCTTCGGACTTAGGTTATAAATTGCTCTTATGAATCTCTTTTGCAAAACAAAGATAGTTTCAATGTCAGTCGCATTACCCCATAGCAAGATTCCGTTTGACATTATGCTATGGAAATAACTAAAACAAACTAATATAGCTGTGTCAACAAATGTAAGGCATCTAATATTATTTATAGCATATGCTGCAGAACTAAGTTTGCTAGCTAGTTTAGATATATGATGGCCCCATAGAAATTTCGCGTCAACTGTAATACCGAGAAAAACAGTGGATTCAACAAGGCCCAGCACTCCTCACTTAAAAGCACACTGGTATTCACCTTTTTAACATTAGGTGTAGGGTAGGAAAATCAACGGAGAACGTTCTATAACTTCAATCCAATTTGTCATTGGAATCAGTGATAACAAAATGCCATACCTACTAAAAATAAAATTCAGTCCTGTTTCGCTAATTTGTGATCTACGACGCATTCTGAGAGTTTTATTTATAATTATTGTTGATTTTGTTGTTAATAATTTTGTATAAAATATTTACATGCCATTGAGACATGAGTAACCATATTTTAAAATTTTCGTTTGTCTGTCTGTCCGAGCTAATCTTTTTTTTTATAGAATAAGGGTGACAAACGAGCACACAGTCCACCTGATGGTAAGTGGTTGCTGCGGCCTATAGACATCTACATCTATTCTCGTTTGCGAATCAAAATGCAGATGCGTTGTCACCCGTGAGGACTAAGATGGAATGCCTCATTTCCCGTAAAAAGGGCCTCCGGCCACCTGCACTCATCAAGCGAAACGCAGAGGTAAACCTCTACTTCATGCTGGTATTCTGTGAGGTCGTGGTACCACCCCGGTTCGAGCCGGCCCATCCGTGCGACAGCAAAAGCTGCCGCGTGGCTCTACCACTATTAAAAAATCTTCAACAATCGGTTGTATATATATATATATATACAACCGATTCAATCAACAATTATTGGATCGGTTGTAATAAAACTTCACGTACAAATAGAGAGTAAGTACTAGGAGTTATCTAGACTAAATTTTATCCGAAAAATTTAGAGACTATTAAAATAGAAATATTGATAAGATAAAAAAATGGTTTTTAATGATTATCTTAAGTCTAAATAACGCCACATTAATTGATCCTACCAAGTTGAAATCAGAGCGGTTCGCTAGTTGTAAATGTTATTTTAAAATTAATGTACCTACTTGTGTATACAATTCTTTTGAAATATTTTGCCTTTAACAGAACATTTCAAATTAACCGAGTAATATAACGTTATAACGACATACCGTTATTATCGGGTTTTCCTATTGGTACTGTACATGTTGACGGTACGGGCTCGATGAGCCGCCATTTATAATCCCATTCTTTATTTATTTTAGCCTGTAATTGTAAAATGCATAAAAGTAGTTGTTAATTTTAGGCGAAAAAAGCTGCTTTTTTACCCAAAATTAACATTGTTAGTTTATATTGAAGCAAAGCTATCTTTCACAGGAAACAAGTTAACACAGCTCGATGTCTCTCAGAATAGTTTGGCAACAATACCGACGTCGTCTTTTACGCATCTCAACCATTTACTGATTCTGAACATGAACCACAATAAGGTAAGGTTTGAGTTGATGTCAATCACTGCAGTAAGGTAACACAAGAAATAGTATGAATATTCGGTGAGTAACTATATTATTTCTTCCAACGCATTTTCTCTTGCGGTGATCGCAAGAACGAATCAGTTCATATTTATTACATGGTACCTAACAACTAATATGGTTAATAATTTCCAGGTAACTGCAGTACATAATAGAGCTTTTGTAGGTCTTGATACATTAGAGATTTTAACTCTTTATGAAAACAAAATATCGGTTGTTGATGCGGAAGCTTTCAAAGGCTTGGAAAAGTGAGTACTATTACCTGATTATATGGAAAAGCAATAAAAAACAAAATCAAAGGTCCTTGAATGTTTAGGATTGCAGTGAGTTATTTTACGTTTACTTTTGTAAGCTCTTTTCACTTTTACTCGTATCTATTCACATGTCCGAATCAGCGCCTCGCCTTTCAACTGCTTTGTTCCAGTTTAAAATGTAAGAGTCTCAATATAATTATCAATGACAGTAAGGCAATTTATCTTAGTCTTTAGAGGCGACAACGTATCCGTAGCCTTCTTTGTTTATAATCGGTCAGAATATAAAAAAAAGTTTTTTTTTTGTATTTTCTCACTGTCACATCTGATTCAAACACTCTTTTCGACATTTACTATAAGTAAAAACGTCAAAATTTTCTACGATTGTTCCATTTAATTCATTTAAATTTTTCTTTCAGAAAACTAAAAAGGCTGAATATAGGGGGCAACGAATTTACAGCAGTGCCGCAAAAAGCTTTAGCTCTCCTCGAAAACTTGAAAAAGCTTGAAATGCAAGAAAACAGGATTACCACTATTACGGAGGGTGACTTTGCAGGTACTCACTTGTCTTTATTGTTTTCTTTTTATTTTTATTCTCATCTTCTATGTCCTATATCAGCTTGTAATCAGTACATTACTGCACATTAGTCTATACCATAGAATTAGAATACCAGAGAATTTAATCGTAGTGTGTATCTCACAACTTTAACGATGTTACTTTTCAATGTTCTGGGTATTTTACATTGAAAATGGCGGAACTTTGAGAGTCGATAAGATCTCACTGACTTTGCTCCTTCTTACGAAACCAACGGAAAGGTATGGGGTGACGGATTCTGTCACATGATATCTGCCAGTTTAAAAAATGAATTATTAAATTGGTTTAAAAATAGTTAAAAATATTATAAAGAGATAATATAATAAAGACGCCATATATTTGCAGGATTGAGAAACTTGGATTCCTTAGGTCTTGCACACAATCAACTTCGCGAGGTACCATCACAAGTATTCTCACACTTAACATTCCTCAACTCATTGGAATTAGAAGGCAATCAGATACAAAGGATTGACGACAAAGCATTCGCTGGTCTTGAAGGTACGCATATTCTTATTATAAACTTTTAATTGACTATCGCACGATAAGTATAGGTTACGCTACGGGTTGAACCCAGCTTGAGGGGTCTAGTAGTGTTGATAATGTATTCAACACTGCGTTTCTATTTCTAGTATAACGATTAAGTACTTTATTAGTTAGGAGATTTGGATTCAAAAATGCTTAATTTATGATAATCGAAAAAACCATTAGTTTTAGCGAAAGCTAGATCATACATCAACACGATACACCGTGTCTAGGCTTAGATAAATATCACATCAAAATCTACTTTATTCAGAGGGGAGCGTAACTAGATGACAAATCGCATAATAGGCTGTAATATACTTAAAAATGTATCAAGCCTAAACCACAGAATAAATTAGAACATTTGTCTGTCACGTATTCTCATTCACGTTGGCGGATGTTGATTTAGTAGCCCGTATGATATGACTGTCCGTCTCACGTAAAGTCAATAAAGTAGAAATAATTTATTAGAAAAGCTAATCCTGACATAACCAAGACATATAGTAAGCACGCATAAAAGAACTGTTCAAATGAAATATGCTTAGCTATATTTACAAACTTTATTAAAATGTTATAAACAGAACGAAAACATAGTATTTGTAAAATGTATTATTTAAAGAATAATTTTATTCACAGAGAATCTACAGTATTTGCGTCTAGGTGATAATCGGCTGCACGAAATCCCTTCGGAGGCTTTACGTCCACTGCATCGCCTGCGCCATCTGGACCTGCGTTCGAACAACATAACCTATATTAGTGAGGACGCATTTACAGGCTATGGAGACTCGATAACTTTCCTCAATTTGCAGAAAAACATGTAAGTTAATTATATGTATATGTCGCAGCCAACTAGCTTAATTAGCGTTTCAGTTAAAAGTCTAGCCGTTTTACCAAACGGCGCCGTTCAACCAGCGGCCTGAATGATATTCGATGCGTATAATACAACTTTACACATATCTTGTAATATCAGCGAGAGTAGGTTAAGGTACGGATTGAGTGGCTCTTGGGCCACAATAAAGTCGCGTACATTTATATAATAAATCAAATAGTGCTGATGAGGACAGACCAGCGACTGTCTCATTGAATAAAATCAATAGGGTGACCATTGTATGTAATGTCTAGAGGCTTTTAACTGAAAGTTTAGTTAAGCTAATTGGCTGCAACATATTCATGCATATAACGGTGTGCACACATTATAATATAACATAACATGTTGTATAACATGTTTCATTAATGTGGAGGCTGAATGTAATAAAACGTGTTATATAACGTGACACAAATGTTATATGACTCAAACGGCAGAACGGCAAACGACAATGTCATATAACATTGTTATATTGCATTGTTATTCTAATGTGTACAGTATTGTTATATCTTGCAATGTTGAAAAACAATGTTACATAATGTGGACGTGTTATAAAACAAAAGTCATACAACATATTACTTGATTTTTACGCACCCTTACAGACTTTATAGATGCACTTGAAATAATTGCCAGGCTTAGCAGGCGATACGAGAAGTGCAGTTAATTCATTACTTGAGTTGTTATCTCCTGTTTAAATTTATTTGACTCTGTTTGCCTCTTGCGACACCCATGGTACACGATACTACCCCATGTAGTGGATATTCTTACACCGCCCCTACACGGGCATATATATATATATATATATATATATATATATATATATATATATATATATATATATATATATATATATATATATATATATTTATATATATATATATATATATAATAGTACATTATAAAAAAAAGTTATTAAAAGTTAAAAAAATTATAAGTCGTAACAGAATAGATACTTAGCTTGTCAGTGAAATGAATAAATTTTGAGTTTGTAGAGCTAATGAAATTTCAACATCAACCCTTAACAAGTTTTTACGTGAAAAAAGAAGCTACAAGTATTCGGGTTTTTAGGGAAATGTGGGCAATATCCTTTTGTAATTAATTTATATCACAAAGGGTATAGAGTTGTAACATGAATATTTTACGAGTATGTTATTTTTATTCTATGAACCACATCTTGGCACAGGCCTCCTCTATTAGCTGGGAGGGTTTTTCGAAGCAGAGTATAGTCAGTAGCGCTGCCCTATTGCATATTAACGGACTTCATATGTCCTTATTTTTAAATTTCTTTGACTCGCGTATGATTTCTCACGATGTTTTCCTTTACCTTTGAGCATGCGCTAAATCGGCATTTCAAACTACAATAAACATTTCATTGGTCTATGAATCAAACTCGGGTTTCTTGCTTATTTAGTATGAAATTTAAGACGAACAGAAACCTTTTACCTACTCCCCTCATTCCAATCCTCACCATATCATACCTTATATTCTGTAAATACTGGGAACAAGCACAAGTTAGTTATACCAGTTACTCGACTCCAAAGAGTCAGTAACTCCTACATGGGGCAGTTTATACGCTTTTACAAGCCCCCGAAAACCTGCAGGCCTTATCTATTAAAAAGTTTAAAAATATTATGAAGCATTGTTTACTATGGGTTATTATTCTACTAAAAAGTACATTATTGATAATAACCAATTTATATAATAATATATGGTAAATTGATTTTATTTAAAAAAGTCCCGCTGGGTTTCTTGCTGTTTCTTCCAGTGGTAAAAGTAAAAAATGACTTTCAATAAGTATTACTGTAATCTATATTGAATAAAAATTATTCTAAATAAGACAAACAACAAACAAACAACAATTATTAATAAGAAGCAACATTTATTAGATATTTTTTGTGACACAAAAGTATATAATATAACACATTAATATGATATTTTTGTTTAAATTTAAACTATGACACATTTTATAAACATAATGCGTAGTGTTTACCATATGGAATGATAAAGTAGAAAAAATATTCATTGGAATAACAATTATGACTGATAAATCATTATTTTTACTTTAGATCCGGCAAATCTTACAAAATAAATTTTTTCAACATTTAATAAGTATTTTGTTAGTAAAAAAATACCTATATTAATAATAAATGTATATTTATATACAGTACATAACAGTTTCATTTGTATATATTGACTGCATTATATTTATGATTCAAATAAATTGAGCTTGAGAAATGATTCAGCGAGGTTATTTTAGTGTTATTAGAGTTTATTACAATATTTTTTTACATTATATGAATTTAAACCACGTGCATATTTTAAAATAATTATGACTATCTTGAATATTCGTACTTAGTGTGTAACTTAGACGAATAGTTCACACCCTGACCTACTGCCCTCACCTCCGTCGCCCTAATATACCCAACTCCCTCACTCCCTGTGATATTATAAGCAACATTAATGTATTAGATATTTACGTGGGACGCAAATATATAAAATAATAATTAAATATGATATTTAAGTTTGCATTTAAATAAAGACACATTTGCAAAACAAAAGGTACGTAGTGTAATTATTCTTTATAGTAATAGGTCGTAAGTGTTAAAAAGTAATTAAATAAATAAGAAAATGTGAAATAATAATTCATTTATAAAACTTTAAAATAAAAATACATTGAAATATTTCCACCCTACTCTAGTGCGCCCATTTATCTAATAAGATATTAATTTATAAGATATACCGCAATAATAACTTTAAAAAAAAACTAAATCTACTACTTACTACTATTTGTCTCAACTCCGGATAGTACCTTTTATATTATTAATACAATTTCGTTCGCGTTTTAGCTGGCACGTAAAGTTTTACTACATTATTATTTTAAAGAATAAATAGATCAAATTTTAAGATCATGTTTTTTTACATATTGAAATATAAAACTTGTCCAATGAATACTTACGCTGTATAATTATTAAATATAATTTCGAAAAATATTAAATGTTTAGTAAACCTGAAAGTGAAGTAATATGATTAGTTAAAATCGTGAAGTAGGTAGTAATGTGAGTAATTGTCAATAATGTTTTCGCATGTACATCATCTTATATCATCAATTTTCACCAGGATTCACCAGTTACCAACGATGGGTTTTGATAACCTCAACTCTTTGGAAACTCTTAATCTGCAAAATAATAAACTACAACATATTCCAGAAGAAATAATGGAACCAATATTAGATACACTTCGCGTTGTGGATATAATGGGTAAGTTAATTGATGTTTTTCATTATATGTATAAAACGTGATAATAATATTTGTAGATGTTCTTAAAAATATAAAATTTTATAAAAGTGTAACTAGGTAAGGACGAGAGTCATTTTCATTCTTTTTTGTTGAAGATTATGTGACTTATTTAACAAAATTACCTGAAATCTGTAACATTATCGCCTGAGATGGTGAATTATTAAGTGTTTTTCTCACCTTTTCACTTATAACTTAAAGAGTGAAAAGTCACGACAGCAAGGAGTAGATTTGTGGAATTTTTATTTATAGAAGAGGAAGGTTTATCCGATTCAAGGACCAAATTAAAATAGCGAAATCAGTAACACAAATAAATTTCACAGAGTAATAACTTAAGTGACATTCTGTTTTAGATAATCCATTAATCTGCGATTGCGAACTGGCGTGGTATGAAGCATGGTTAGCAGGCTTGAGAGACCGAGACGACGAGATGATGCAAAAGAAACGAACTGTTTGCACTATGGTCAGTGAGCATCGTGAGTATAGCGTCGCGAAGATGCCACTTGAAAAGATGAATTGCAAACGGAAACCAGCATATGGGCGTACATCTACCGCGGTTCAAACTTGCGCGATATTAGCGACAAATACCTTTATAATCGTCGCAGCAAGATGGCTCTAGAGTATAAAACTATAAATTTATAATCAGTAATGATTTTAGTTAACCCTTTTCATTTAGTCCGAAGCGTCCATACTAAGCTAGCTGTGGCCGGATAGCTAGATGAGACAACTTCGCATTTATATTTTTTTTAAACTTAGTAACGTGATGAATTTGTGCAATAAACTACGATACATATCAATTTGGGCTGAGTAGAACAAAAAATTAGTAATAATTGGGAGCGAATAACTTGTGATAAGTAAAAACGGAAACGGTTTATTAAAACTTTCGCGTAAGATAGTGTTATACACTACATAAATTTAAAATCTTTTACAATAGGTATGCCTTACTGTAGTGTAACGTATTTGACTATCAAAGAGTATAAAAGGAAACGCTACTTCTAGCTCTAGGGAGGCATTTAATTTTATCTTGGAAAAATAGAACTTAAAAAAAAGCGTCTGAATTTTGCTAAGACAACATCTTTTTCACAAAGTTTGGCACAATTATTTTGTCATTTAAATTTTACCTTAAATGTAAAACAAAGCAGTCATATTTTTTTATCATTTACTCCTTACCTTTACAATGTATTTATACCTATATGTATGTCCTATTTAAGCTTTTTGCGCATTTACCATGTTGACTATTACAATATTAACAATTGTATAATTCTATAACTGTAAGCACGTGGGGTTCGAGACATATTTACATTATTGTATTTAAATCGACTTTTAAAATATGATAGGGTTTATGATTAATCCCCTCAAATATTGCTACCTCTTGTTTAGTATGTTATTGTTTAGCTTTATCATGCAATATCTTGTTGTTATTAATTAGAGCCCCTGAATGTTCGATTTCTTGTAGATTAGATGTAGTTCATTAAGTGTTAGATTATATTATTAAATTAAGATGCGCTGTTAATACTTTGTATTTTAGGATGTTCTCCAATTGACTTTGATAATTGAAATATTTTTTCTTATTTGCTAAATACTTTACTACCATTCAAATTTATTATATAATAATTTTAAGGTCCTTTATATAATTTTGCATTTAAGTTTATGTATATTTTTTGTTATTTAAGTTTTTATAACTTAACTGCTACTAATTGCATAGCTATATAAAGTTTCGTTAAATTTGCCATAGATTTTATTAATGTATCTATATTGATATAGCTTAGTAATAAATGTGACTTTAAACATCATTTGCTGTCATTTATTTTGATTGCTCTTTCGAATTTCACTCTATTTGTTTTATTTTTCTTCTAATGTTTTGTAATTAACAGTATTAAAACGATTTTTTTATGTTTTGAGCAGTAGAATCACTCGGGGTTAAAATCACGCTTGCACAGCAATCTTTAGCATAATAAAGATTTGCTAAAAAATTTAAATACCCAAAATAATTGCACTAAAATGTGAAATTTAAATTATAGATATTCTGATATAATACATACATAACATAAAATTTAAAGAGATTTCGTGCAAGCAACCCTTAGTGATGTCTTCAACGGACCTTCATATAATGTACATGTGTGCGCTGTAAACCCAACTTACGCAAGTGATATAATTGAAACAAGAAACATATCCCTTAGTCTGATTAAGTCATAGTATAAGCATATTGTTGTTATATATTAATTACAAATTTTTTGAAGTTAACCAACTTTATTCGCTAATACATTTTGGATGTAATTTTTGACTAAATATCACCGCCAAAACTTTACTTATTTTGTTAAATATATAAATGCACGTATATAATATGTAGTCTCACTTATTGTTATAAAATGTATCAACATGTATTTTTGGGACTATTCAAATTATTGTGAGACGTGTGTTGGACGCGAGATTGAATATTGAATCAATTGTAAATCAGACTTAATATTCACTTTACACACGTTTACACATGAAAATACAATATTAGAAAAAACATTGTATTGGAAAATTAGCTATTAAAAATTAAAGAAATTGCATTAGCGATTGCTCATTAAGAGAATTGTCACTATTTTATAATTATTATTAACTATCAGAGTCGAATAAACCTGACTAATTAAGGAAATTTCACTATGCTACTGTGTTCTAAATCGTTTTAAAAGTTCTTCAAATCCTGTGCTTTTGTCGATGTTAATATAAATGTGGTGTTCGTAATGTATTACGCAACATTTTGTGCTGTAGTAAATATTTTAAGAGATCTGACGCAAGATAAATTTCTTTAAATATTGCGTTCTCGATATTTATCTTTCATTTAGTTTTATAACATATTTTACGGCATTTCGCACAAAAGCATTTCTTGTAATGCTCATAAATAGCAACGGGTTGCTGCAGGCTATCGATGATAATACAACAAACTCATCTGTGTTAATTTTAAACAGGATTAAGTCTATTATTATTAGCCAAATATCGCTATTATGAGACAATCTTACCTGATTGTAGCTGGTGATGGACAGGAAGGATAAATCACACTGTCTTAAGTCACGTGCATAAATCATCATCTATATTAATACATATGTATTTGTTGGCAACAAAGAGGTTTTAATTATATTATTTTCTTTTAAAACAAATTAGAAGATTTGTTATTTTTATTATCTTTTAATTTGTTTTAAAATATATTGGCAATCAATTCAATATTACACTTTATACGATTATTTTCATTTTACGCAGTATTCACGCATCTTATCCAACAAAATTCATAGTGCATAATATACTCACTATAATCAAGCCGTAAATAATATCTCTATGTATTTTAGTTACACAAAATAATCCCAAGGAACCAAATCATACATATCATCATGAGCCAAAACTAGCTCTACAATTTGCTCATTTAAAATAATTGTAATGAGTACATATTTTTAAAATTTGCATATCAATTTATAAAAAAAAATTTGTTATTGAATGTATAAACTTCATAATTTTCGTTAAATACCTAATTATTTTATAACTAATCTATAACTAATATGTTACGTATTTATTATGTCTTTGTATGGTAACTATTGTAACTTTATAAAATGATTACATATTGAACCTAGGTAACGTAAGTAATGCCTAGGAATTATAAACTATATCTTTAGATCAGGCACAATATAAAATGTTAGACAAATTAAGCATATTTTGGTCATAAGTTTTGGATCTTAATTGCTAATTAACATTAGAACAAAATTTAAATTCACATTTAAAGAAATTGAGACAAGCAATTTTAAACACATCATTTTAATGGCGGTACATCAAAACACTGCGGCAACATAGTATATGGCTGGCGCAAAATAAACGATTAAACGAAATGTATTTTTTTACATCTACTTTGATTCGGATTATTATTACTATATTAATGTTTAATTAATAGCTATTAACAAGTAATAATCAATTAATCACATTGTATATCTATACGTTCAATATTGTATAGAACTCCTAAGCAAAGTATTGATTAAATGAACATTGTCTGTACGTGCTAGGTATTCCATATAAAATGCCTGGCTGTTCTATAGAATACCAGATTACACAAATTGTCGATAACTTTAGTAAGAGCTATTATAGTGGCGTATAAATGTTGTTGTGTACGAAATGTGTCATAAATATGTCTGTCTGTATTTATTCGTAAAATAATGATAAAACTTCATACGACTTTGAAAAAATTGTTAATGTTATTAACGACATTAATTATGTGCACTTCGAGATGTGTTTGCAATAAATCTGAACGTTACACATTATATTAAACTTCTGACCGTCTGTATCTTATCATCACACATGTTTCATAATACCATATTTGATATACGCTATATCTAATAAGGTAGGGTACATACATAAATTTCGTCAGATTTTCCAGTTTATAGTCACATTTATTATGTAACTTACATAGATATTCTAATTCTAAAATAAAATTTTGCTGTAAAGATGTATTTAATTTTGGTTGAAATAAAAATGGAAAATTATTCAATTTAGTGTTTTTATTGCTCCATATCCGCATTTATCTTTAAAAATAATGGATTCGATTATATATTTTTTAGCCAACTTCAAAACAAAAGGAGGTTTTCAATTAGACTATATTATAATCTTTTTTTGCAAGTTATTTTTTGTATAATTTCATCATTTGTGAATAGATTTTAATGATTCTTTTTTATTAAATAGGTCAGTATACTTTCGGGTACTACATAATTTCGGAGAAAATTTCATCCCTAATGGTTGGAAAATAGGTGATAAAGCTTTTTATGTATTCAGACGCGATTTTGGTTATCCACTCAAGGGAGACAAAATCATACAATGTAATAAAAGTATAAAACGACATCAAAGGATTTAAAAGTATAAGATACTTTCACTTTTTAGACATTGCATTAAAGGAAAAGTAAGGAAACCTGCATGTCTGAGCATAAATAATAATAAGTAAATTTAATTAAATTGGCTAAGATTCATACTTAAACATCATTGCACAGTTAACTACACTATTTTTATAGAATACTACTGCCACGTAAAGAACATAAGCAAACCAACTTCGAAACATTTATTCGTGCTTCAGCTTAAAGCGTAGCTGTCTAGACTGGTTCAATCACTGAGTTAGTTCCAAATATAATGCACAATTTTATTTATTTTATGTATGGAAATTTAAACAAATTAACTTACTCTTTAATTTTTTAAATAAGATGTAGGTACTTGATCATGTGTAATATAACCGAAAATGTAATGGTGTTTTAAATATTATGCTTCTTCTTTATTTATCGACACTTAATCATGTTGTCCCGGGTTCGAATCCCAGGTAGGACCAAAATCAGTTCTTGGATGTGACGCTGTTCACCAACACCGATCTGGGTATTTTACATCTAGCATATAAGAGAGAGACGTTTAAATCGCCTCATAAACAATAAGTTTTTCTTCTTTTCGATAGTCGCTTCTTAGATGAACTTGGGTGCTAGATTTTTCAACATCGCCTCCACACGTAAAGATACAATTAGTAATTTTAAGGTTTTAATTATTTTTAGGCATATTCACTTTGCATATTTGTTCTCAAGTAAGTGACACTTTTTCTATTATATTATTTTATACGTGGTA